TTAATTTCTTCTTTGATCTCCACTTTAGTCCAGTGGTCTTCCAGTAGTGTGGTTTTCAATCTCCATGAGGTAGGATAGTTCCTTGCCTTCTTTTTATGGTTTATTTCTAGTTTGATGCCTTCATGGTCAGAAAAGATGGTTGGTATGATTTCAATCTTGGTGTATCTGTTGATGTTTGTCTTGTGCCCCAGTATGTGATCGATCCTGGAGAATGATCTGTGTGCGCTTGAGAAAAATGTGTACTCCATTTTTTTGGGGTTTAGTGTTCTATAGATGTCTGTTAAGCCCAAATGCTCTAGGTCCTTATTTAGAGCTTTAGTTTCTTTACTTATTTTTTGTCTTGTTGATCTATCCATTGTTGATAGTGGTGTGTTGAAGTCTCCCACTATGTATGTGTTTTCTCTGATGTCTGTTTTCAGGGAGGACAACAGTTGTCTGATATATTTTGGTGCTCCTTCGTTTGGTGCGTATATGTTAATGAGTGTTATTTCTTCTTGAAATATTGTCCCCTTGATCATAATGTAGTGACCATTGGGGTCTCTTTTTATTTTTTTGAGTTTGAAGTCTGTTTTATCTGATATAAGTATAGCTGTTCCTGCTTTCTTTTTTGGTCCATTCGCTTGTAGGATTGTTTTCCATCCTTTAACTTTGAGCCTATTTTTATTTTTTGTAGCTAAATGTGTTTCCTGGAGACAGCAAAAGGTTGGATTTTCTTTCTTAATCCAGGCTGCAACTCTGTGTCTTTTTATTGAAGAGTTTAGTCCATTTACATTTAGAGTTAATATTGATATGTTAGCATCTGTATTTGCCATTGTGTTTGTCTTTCCTTTGATTTTATTGATTTATTCTTTTAATAACTTTTTTTTTTGTTGGTCTTCCTTCGTTGTTATTCATCCCTCTGTGGTTCTGGCTTTAGGATTCCTTGTAGTATTTTTGGAGTGGGGGTTTAGTCGTAATGAAATTCCGGAGTTTCTGTTTGTCTGGGAAGGTCCTTATTCTGTCTTCATAGAGGAAGGAGAGCTTTGCGGGATAAAGTATTCTTGGTTGGCGTCTGTTTTCTTGGAGTCTGTTGACTATGTCCCTCCACTCTCTCCTTGCCCATAGTGTTTCTTCAGAGAAGTCTGATGTTAGCCCGATTGGTTTTCCTTTGAATGTTATCTGTTTCTTACCTCTTGTCAGCTTCATTATTTTTTCCTTGTCCTGGATTCTTGGGAGCTTTACTATTATGTGTCTTGCTGTATTTTTCCTTTCGTCGTGGAAGTTTGGTGTTCTTCTTGCTTCTTGTATATCAATTTTCAGCTCCTTCTTTGCATTTGGGAAGTTCTCTTCAATTATCTCCTGGAATATTTTCTCTGTTCCTACATCTCTCTCCTCTCCTTCTGGAATTCCTATAACTCTTATATTTCCTTTCCTCATGGAGTCAGATATTTCCCGAAGTCTTTCTTCGTTCTTTTTCCTTCGTACTTCTCTTTCCTTTTCTGTTTTGGTTCTTTTTATTTCTGTGTCTTCAAGAGTACTTATTCGTTCTTCCATTTCATCTATTCTGCTTTCATTGCTTTTCCCAGAGTTCTTTAGTTCCTGCATTAATTCTTTGATCTCCTGCATTTCTTTTACTTCCCTCTTTAGAGACTCAATTTCATTCTTCTGACCATTGTTTTCCTTCTTCAGGGACTCAATTTCCTTCTTCTGATCATTGTTTTTCTATATGAGTTCTGTCACTTTTTTAATCATGGCAATTTTAAATTCTCTTTCTGGAAGGCTCAGAAGTTCTTCCAAGTTACTGTCGTTGCAATCTGGGGGGTGGTTTTCTTTTTGTGGTGTGCTTCTTTCCTGAGGAGTTGTTAGGTTGCATGTGGTTCTTCTACTCCCTACTATCTGTTTTCTAATTTGCCGTATGCATTGGGACATTGTGTTACTGGGACTGGCCGGCATCTTGGGTGAACTTCTCCTTTCCCCTCTGGCTCCACCGGGACCCATCTGTCAGTTTCAAGCAGTCTTTACTGAAGAAAGGTCCCTGTTCTAAAATTCCGATGCGGGGACACGCTCCCCTGCGCGCCTGGTCTGCCCCAGTGTTGGGTTCCTGCTCCCCCTCTGGGCTGGGACTGCAGGCCAGTAGGGACCTGGCATGGGCGAACTTCCCAGCTCACCTCTGGCTCCTCTGGGAGCCTTCTGCTGGTTTCAGGCAGTCTTTACTGAAGAAATGTCCCTGTTCTAAAATGGTGATGCGGGACACACCCCCTGCGTGCCCAGGCTGCCCCGGTGGTGGGTTCAAATTTTGTATATTTTTAAGAAAAATCCTTATTACCTATACCATTACCAAACATATATGAATTAGATGTGATAGAACATGAAAAAATGTCACTTTATTCTTGATGTAAAATTTATATCAGTCTCCAGTCCCCCTTCTTGGTAAGGCAAGAATCAGTTATTCGATTGAGGCCAGTGTTTCTTCTGCTTCTCCCAAAACATGCTACAAAAGATCCTGGGAGTCTTGACAGTAGTGGAACATTTAAGAATTCTCTGGGTCTTTAGTCTATACTTGGCACTATGTTGATTGTGCAAGCCCAGATGGTCCTTTGGAGGTTGCTGCCTCTGTTGAACTTATATATACTATACTTGAATATGGAAATCTTTGGTGAGGCCAGCACCCCTGGAGCTTTTAGGGTCTGGGCATTCTTTTTCATAAGCTGTTGTCTTCCTGGGGAATTGTGAGAGAGTGGACTAGGTTCCCATTCTATTTTTGAAATTTCAGACTTCTGCCTTTTTTTCAGTCATGATGGGTTTTCCTTGTCTTCCTACATTTTTTCTATTTTTCTTAGAATGGAAGACCCTTTTGCAAACTCTTTCCTCCTCAAGATAACAGGGAAAGAAAATGTAAAGCACAAATAGCTCTTGTTTCTTGCAGCAATTAAAAAAAAAGCAAACAAATCAATATTCTATAGGCTGTTCCATCATTCTCTTTTCCTTAGTAGATTTAAATCCCTCAAAGGAATATTTCTTCCATAATTTTGCTTCTCTTAATAGGTGGAGCAAGTATGATTTTCTGGTTTTGGCCCTTATGGTGTTCTCCAGCACTGCAACTATCACACAAAAAGCGGTGCTGGGATGAGTGTGTTGTGAAATCTCCCTGAGGATCAGATACCTGGTTCTAGCTGTTTTTAGGGTGAATTCCCCATTTCTTTTTTTGGTGCAGCCCCACTTGGAATTAATTTATTTCAACACTGTCCTGTTCTACCCAACTCAGCTGCCAGTAGATCTTTTATTTTTTATATGTGTGTGTATATACACACACACACACACACACATATATATACATATATATATATATATATATATATATATGTATGTTTTACATCATTGTTCATTTTTGTACAATGTTTGATTTCTCCTCTCAGGTGTAATCCCCATAAAATTCCCACCACCAAGTCACCCGTGAACCATCACCATAGTCTCCTGTGCTCTTCTTCCATGCCCCACGATTTTAATTTCTCTTTCCCCCTCTCCTGCTGAATGTCTCATATTTATAGTTGCTTTCTAGTTTTGTCTCCCCCCCACCCCCGACCCCTTATTCCCTTTTATTCCTTCTATAAATGATGCCATCCTCCAATAGTTTTCTTTTTCCTTCTGGCTTATTTCACTGAGCATAGTGCCCTCCAGCTCCATACATGATGCAACATCTTCTTGATATGGTCATCTGTTTTGGGGCATTTAAATTGTTTCTATATCTTAGCTATTGTAAATAGTGCTGCAATAAACAGGAATGCAGGTTTCCTTTTGAATTAATGTTTTTGTGTCTATTGGGTAGATTCCTGGGAGTGGAAGTGCTGGCTCATATGGTAGCTCCATTTTTAGTAATTTGAGCAACCTCAACACAGCTTTCCATAGTGGTTGGACCAGTTTGCATTCCTAGCTGCTGGTAGGTCTTTTCAAAATCTGGATAAATCTCTCCTGCACCTTGGACAGCATATGTGGGGGATTATCTTTGGCCTACAATTCAATTAGTATTCGTGAATGGGATAGTCCCCTGTCCAGATTCTCCAGCTGTGCCCTCTTCATCTTCAGTGATTGTCTTTTTCTTCCCTACCACTGCTATTCTGAATCTTTTGCTCTTAAGAACTTCCAGGAACTGTGGGTCCTCTTTATGAATGTTGCCTATCCGATATATCTGTCTTTTCTACATGAATGCAAAAAGAAGGTATTTATTCTTTGTGTCTTCCTTAAAATGTACCCCCCTCTAGGCCTTTGACTTGATAAAGAGGCTTTAATACTTGGCTTTGATATGAAAATACAGTCACTGTCAGGAGCCTCTCCATCATGTCCAAGCTAAACATTTCTTGTTGCATATTATAACAGAATACCATAAGCTAGGTTCTAAGTTCTTATAAATAGGATATCTTGGTGAATTTCACTTTATGCCCTTTTATATGTGGAGAAAGTGTCTGTATGATATAGTTTGCTGTGTTAATGAAATTTGTGAAAGTATCATATATCTTAATTCCTAATTCAAACTTTTGCTCATGCTCACATCCTGCTGTGCTTTCTTATGTACTTTCCACCTCTCCCTGTAGGCTAAGATCTTGCTGAGTTTGCAGTTAGTATTTTAGGACTGAGTTTGCAGCTGACCTTGCCCGGAATGCCTTCTTTACATATTTTATTCAGTGTACTATAACATGTAAAAATCACCTCGATAGCTCAGACTCCATTAGGCAATAAGGTCCTAATTTTGGATGAGGAACTCAGTTTTAGTCACTTAGGTTGTGTAGGAGAACTAGTAACTTCAGAATGAATAGCAATAGTTAATTGGAGTGGTGAGCATAGGGATTTAGTAGGAGATTTTCTTTTGACTCATGTTCGTAGGTTAATATTATGCTGTTTTTCATGTAAATACACTCTGAGGCAGGTGGGAGTTTTATGATTTATAAGTGGAAAGTTAAATTATAAATAGCAAGCCCCTGATAAAACTCTTAGGAAAAAACTCAATAACAATATCAAACATTTCTAAGAAAATATTATTGTCAATTATGGACATATTTATTCAAATATTTGTGACATAAATATTCTCAATTTACATGTAGATTTAATATATTTTTGAGGACGATAAAACCAGGTCCCCCACGGGCATGAATGGAGGACAAAATACCTTTTAAAAATATTTCGTAAGTTTAGATGAGTTAGTACAGATTGGTTAACCCTTTTTAGTCATTTGCAACCTACCAGTGATAGTATCAAACACAGTAAAAAAAAATACAAAATAGGAATATACATTTCTTGAGCATTTGCTAGCCTTACGATTTATGTATCAAGATTATACCGATAAAGCATACACATGCTTTCTGTGACACCATTTCATAAGGGAAATACTTCTTAACTAGGATTGTTTCATATTTTAATTACATATAAAAGTGAATCAGCAAGAAAAAAAATTCATTATTCACCTGGTATGTATAATGCTGTAGGATAGACATAGTGGGAGAAATAAAGGAGTAAAAGAGACAAGTTTATCACTGAAGAAATTTGTAACGGGTGAGATATGCATGTAAAGGTAGATCTTTAGTACATGACAGTATTGGGTAAAAGGTGAACAAGTGATACAGGTGACAAGTGCTAAAAGAATCCGAAGAGAAACCATTCTGGGTTATATATTTATTATTTATGCTCTACTTAATTTCAGGTAAAGGAGATATATTAACTGTACTGGATTAGGGAGGGAGTGAATTAAGGAGAACTTAATAAAGAACATAAACCTTTTGCTGGGGACTTAAAAGATGCACAGATGCACAAGGAAGATAGGTAAGGGAGGTTTTCCAGATAGTAGGAATGGCAAGGACACCAGAATGTAGATACATAGGGTGTAGCTAGGGAAAAATAAGTGGAACAACTTGTTTCATGTAGAAAAACAGCAGGAGATAAAAGTGAGCAGATGTGAGGAATGATTCTGAAGCTCTTTCAGTGTTATAATGATTCTGAAGCTCTTTCAGTGTTTAGGAGCTAAAACTTAAATTTATAGGTACTGATAAAGTTGCTCAGGATTTTTGGTAAATATGCAATAAGGTGCAATAGGATTTTAAGAAGATTAATCCGTGGTGGGTATGAGAGTGTGGAGTTGGGAAAGACTGGGTATAAATAAAAATGAGGGAGATTAGGGTAGTACTCCAGAGGTGTGGAGAAGTGGCCTGGGATGTAGTAATGCAAAATAAAGAAGTGATGCGGAACACAATTCAAAGGAATAACTGGTAAGTCTCAGTGAATGAAAGACTATGAGAATGAGGGACACTGGATGTAAAAACAAGGTATAGTATAGAAAATAATGCGGAAAAGCTATAGAACTTATTTTCAGAGTATGTGTAGAGGCACTTTGAATGCAAATAATATTTCAGAGTATGTAGCTAAAATTTCTCTACAAGGATTTATTTTCTGTTGTTTTATTTTCTGCTTACCTACTTGCTTTGATTCTTAGATTGTATAGCAATCAAAAAGTTTATTCTGTATGTATGTATACAACATGACTAGTATTCCATATCACTGAGACAAATTCTAAATAGTACCGTATAAGAAAGAGGACTTATCTGAGTAAAGACAAGTAACTAGTTATGGAGTAGAAAGTGAGAAATGTAAAAAAAAATATAGAGAAGGGATATTTTGTGATGTTTATGATCTTTTATAATCTATTTTGAATCTCTTTGCACAACAATGTAAAGATTGAAAGGAGACTAAATGTATAGAGAGTCTTGTTATGGCTATACCTTTTTTTTTTTTTTAAATAAAATGTCAAGGGAAGGCTGGAAACTGGAAATAGCCCAGATATCCATCAGTACAAGAATGGAAGAGTGATATGTTCATACTGTGGAATACTACTCAGGAATGAAGTGGAATTAACTACTGACTCAAGCAACAACATTGATGAAAAGCAAAAATGTTTTCTCAGTTGAAGAGGCCTTACACAAAAGAGCATATAATGTATGATTATATTTCTATGAACACTAGAACATGTAAAACTTATCTATGGGGGAAAAGTCAGAACTGCTGTTATCTCTGGGGAGTGATGGGTGAAGGATTAAGGAAAGGGACATGAGGGAACTTTCTGAGGGTGATAATGTTCTATGTTTTGACAGAGGTTTTGGGTCACCTGGGTGTATGTGTTTCTTAAAACTCATTAAATGATATGCTTAGGATTTGTCTATTTCACCATATGTAAACTTATGATTTGCCTGCAAGGGAGACAGTAAAGCACGGTGGTTAAGAGGTTGGGATCCTGAATCAGAACTTTGAGTTTGAATTGTATTAGTTGTATTTTTTACTAGTTTTGAGAACTTGAGCTAATTTAGTAGGTTTTCCTGCTCTATAAAATGTGAATAATGGGTTTCACAGTTGCCCATCACTCCCTAACCCCAGCTCTGCCTCTAGCTCCAGAAGCTTCAGGCCAATGAGAAGGATGTTTAGAAAGGAGGTCTCTGTACCATGACACATACAAAGCCTACTGTCCACAAACCAGCTGGTGGTAAAGAAGCAAGCACCTGCCTACAAAGGCTGCTGACCAGAGTGTGCTCTCTACTGGTGGGGTGAAGAAACCTCATCATTACATGCTTAGTACTGTGGCACTTGTTGGTATTAGGCATTATCAGAATCCATTGAACTTTTCTGATTCTCAAACTTCCCGCTTCTGGTGTGAAAAAAATTATCACAACTTCAAAACAGAGTTGAGCTTCCAGAGCACTGCTATTAGTGTTTTGTAGGAGGCAAGTGAGGTCTATCTGCTTGGCCTTTTGAAGATACCAACTTGTGTGCTGTCCATGCAAAATGTGTAACAACTTTGCCAAAAGATAACCAGTCACCATGTTCAGGGGAGAAAGCCCTCAAGAATCCACTATTGAACTTTTCCAGGCTAGCCAGTATTTGGAATTTTAAAACACTAGTAAATTTCTTATTGATGCAAAAAAAGTGAATAATGTCTGCATCATTGAGTTTTATTAAGATTAAATGGGTTACATTATATAAAATACTTATCAAGTATTATATAAAATACTGGCACATAATAAGCTTTCAATAAAAGTTATTTTAAAAAGTCAAGGAGCATACATTCAAAAAAACCACTGGAATTTAAGCCATAGTTTCATTGTCCAGCAAGAGTCAATTCTGATAACAGTACTTCTAGCAAATATAGGATATATTTTTCTATACCTCCAACGGATAGAAATTATGAGAATTAAATATTTTTAAATATTTCACCTAAATAACATTTTTAAACTTGCACTTAAAAAAAGATGGGGGCCTAGAAAGGGAAAAAATAACCTTTTTTTTCCCCCTTATACAGTGTATACCTTCAGGGCAATTCAGCACATTTGTTGTGTACCATTGCCAAGATGCTGAACTAGGAGACAGGGTTCCTACTTAAACAGAGTGTATAGTCTACTATTTAACGTCTCATTGCACTTAGAAGGAAAACATCAAACCAAGCAAATGGGCTGAAACTTGCCTTTAGATACTTACCTTAAGTTAAATTTCAAACAGTATAACCTAGACAGATAGAAGTCTTTAGAACAGTACTACCCAATAAAACTTTCTGTAATGATTAAAGTGTTCTACAACGGTGCTAATATGGTAACCAGTAAGCATGTGGGGCCAGGGAGACTTGAGATGTGGTTAGTACAACTGAGAAACTACATCTTCGTTTTAATTTAACCACATATGGCCAGTGGCTATCAGATTAGACAAAACAGCTCTAGAGTGTGTTTCTCAAAATATCTGAGGAAAAGGACCATTTATTTTAAATTTCAAATTTGTTATGGACTAATCCTATTCTAAAATGCCCAAAAAATAATTACGACAAAGATGAAATGAAAAAAAAAGACATACAAAATATTACCACTTTTTAAATAGCAGACTCATCTGACATAAAAACTCTGTCAAAATTGCTAAAACAGTTTCTTAACATCATCAACTTCTGTATTTTATATCATGTACCAACAAAAAATAATTTTTAGACTGGCAGTAGTCATGGACTACACTTTGAAGGAGGTGGAGATCTGTTTTTACAGAATGTGCCTAAAAATAAATTTTTTTTTTACCCGTTTAAGTACGGTTCAACAAAGTGGTTACTGATATAACAGTTAACATTCTTTACAACAAGTTTTGTCTAGCACAGCTGTATATTGACAGTGCAATGTGGGCAACATCAAGGTAGGCTAGCAGGCTTCTTTGATCCAGTGAAGCCATTTTTACATTTGGAGTTATAAGCTGAAATACCTTTCCTTCTATAAAGTTCAGCCCGATATTTACAGCAGCCAAATTTGCTCAACAGCAGGAAGAAATCCCTTCGGAATGCCTTTGTGAAGATTGCATATAGAAATGGATTGGCACAAGAATTGACTGGGTAAAAAAGAACTAGTAAAATTTTAGAGTTGGTTACTGTGATCAGAGGCACTTTCAAGGCAGCTGAGATGGCGAAAAAGGAAATAGGTGCCATGCAGGTGAAATCCGTGAAGATGAGAACCGCCATTTTCTTAGCCATCTTTGTATCTTTGTTGGTAGCTGTCAGCTCTGGATTTTGAACTGCAAAATATATTTTAATGTAGCAAGCACAAATGATGATGAAGGCCACCACATTGAGTATCAGGATGGCTAATATGTAGACTTGTGAGAGAGTGGTTTCCACATCCATGGGGAGGCAAATGCTGACCTTCATGTAATTGCTGACACCCACAAGGGGCAAAATAGCGATCAGAGTGGAAAAGAGCCACCCTCCAAGCATAATCAGAATAGCATGTCTTAATCGAAGCTTTTGGTTTACCTGAATAGCATATGTGATGGTGTACCATCTTTCTAGTGTGATGACTGTGAGGGTGTATAGAGAAAGTTCACTTGCAAATACAGTGAAAAACCCAGCAGCACTACATCCACTCCCGGTCTGCCAATCTATGGCATGGTTGTAATACTGGCCTTCGGTATGGGAATCAACTGAGGCAATAAGCAGCAGATAGAGCCCCATGCAAAAATCTGCAAATGAGAGATTGCACATGAGAAAACGTGGCACGGTCAGTTTATAACGACTGGTCAGGAGGACAAAGAGGACAGTCACATTTCCCATGATGGCTAGAATACTGATCAGCCAAATCAGGACCCTAAGGAAGTCATAGCCCATAATATCTTCACAGGGATTAAAAGCATCTGGTTCAGGAGCACATTGAAGTATCTTGGGTGAGCAGAAACCATAGTCATAATCCCAGCCACTCAGTTCATTTTCATCAAAGATGGCAGAATACCTATAAGAAGAATATCTGTAAGAAGAATATTTTGACTTTATGTAAATTTAAGAGATTTTCAGTGATTCAGGGTACTAAAAATTCAAGAATCATTTTTAATGTCTTTTTTTAAGCCTAAGAAACAAAACCACAACAGCCTTGGCCTGAGGTTTATTTGTTAAATTATTGGAACTCTTAATTGATGTAGGAGTTCCAAAAGAAGGAAATGAAAAGTCATTTAGACTTAAAATATATATATATGTTTTGCACATTGATGCAAAGTCTTAATGAAGTTGTTTACATAGGATAATTCTCTTTGGAAAAGAAATTTAGAGGCACAATATATGCTTGCTAAATATAAAAGAATCCTTTCTTGGCATTTTCTTAGCTATTTATCTCATTTAGTTGCCAACCAAACTGCTATCAAGCTGTTTGTAGTGAAACACAAATGGGATTGGAAGGCTCAAATTGTTGACGATCATCAGCTACTGATGAACTTGTTTGCACTTGAGTCCCTGGTTAATCAAATAGCCCTGCTGAGAAATAGAAACCAAGGATAGAGTACTACAAACTTAGCAGCAGATGAAGAATATCATCATGGGCAATAGGAAGAAATGGTGAAACTGGATACTTGTTAGAGGAATGAGTCAAATTCAGAGTGGGTTGAAGAGGGACTCTGTCTTTAGTGAGGGAACAGGCCCACCTTTGCCACAGTTGCTGCTGTGGTCAGAATTCAGAATTCAGGTTTTTCATCCTCTTTTAATGGGACAATTAGTTTTCTTTCTGCCATCCTTCCTCCAATTTTAACTCTCTCTCTCTTCTATCTGTATGTTCCTACTTGGATGGACTTTCTTAAGCACAAGTCTACTGATTCACTTTTTTCCTAGGTTCTCATTGGCTATGGATAAATACCAGAATCCTTGAGATGACCTCTGAGTCCCCCCTTGAACTGGGTTCTGTTCCTTTCTTCAGTCTCATCTTTAAAAAGCAGTAGTGATGTGCAAAAATGGGCTGTGGAGCCAAACTGCTTGGGTCCAGTCCTTACGGAATGTGTTTATAAACCTGGGAGAGTTACTTAAATTCTCTTCCCTCTAGTTTTTTGTCAAATAATATATCTCCCTTATTACGTCTGTGCAAAAGATTAAATATATTAGCACACATAGAATGTTTAGAATAATGCCTGACACATATTAAGTGCTCAGTGAACATTATGGATTCTTACAATTTATTGCATGCAAATCCCTATGCAGCCATCCCTTTGGTCGCATGAAATGACTTGTGACTCAAAATAAATTCTATTGTTTCAACTCTCTGTCTTTGTGTATGAGATTTCTTTTGCCTGGAAGACATCTCTGTTTCTTCTTTCCTTCCTCGTCTCCTTTCTCTAGTGAATTCTTCCTCATTTGTAAAATAAGCTCATCTATGAAACCTTTACTGATCTGCACCTCCAGGGAGTTTATTGTCCCTTTTGCTGCACTTAAGTATTATAATTATCAAACTATATTATTATGTGATGATGCATGTGTATATTTAGTAGTCTTATTTAGGCAGGGGACAAGATCTTATTCATTTTCGAAATGTTAATGCCTCACACAGGTTTGACTCAGAGTATCCATTCAGTAACTATTTATGCAATAAATAAACCAGGACGATCCTGGTTCTAAGAAGATACAGGTCAGTGAGTGTCTACAGTTTGGCGCATGTAGATTGAACAAATTTCATTTGCCCATAGTTCTGCTAATATAATCGTGGGGAATGGTGGGATGGGCATGTTTCTGTTAAGGCCATTACAAATAAGTATTTCTCTTTAGGAATCCTCACAGGTTTAAAGAGTATTTTTCTCTACTCTCAAAACTTTGCTTTTCATGTTATCTATAAGGAAGTGTGTATGTTTTATAGTGAGTAGATGAAATGTTATATTTGACCAATACAATCATGAAAAGGGGAAGAACACATTAAAAAAGAAGGGAAAAAATGACTCAGGACCCCAGAAAGGTGCTAGATTATTGCAGAAAACAATTTGGAACTAGAGAAAGGCCACGCGCAGATGTCTACTTAGGATCCTCTCACACATTTGTCCTCATCTTGTGGACATCAATATAATTACCCAGATTTGTAATCTTTAAAGAGATATAGTGGTTACAATGAACAATTAAAGAAAATGCTATCTCTTAGTATTGGAAAGGCCCTTTAAGACCATCTGTCCGGAGCCGTCCGGAGCATGCGCCGTGTTGCGTATGCGTGCCATGAGTTAAGTTTCGCTTTACCGTTTAGCTTTTGGAGAACCACAGGTTTTTCCTGTAAGTCACATGAGACTGGGAGGTACGGGGGGAGGGGCTATGAGGGTATAAGAGGAGAACCTGGGAGAGAGAGGGGGAGAAGAAAAGAGATTTAAGAGGAGAACCATGAGAGAGGAGAGTGCTGCGAGAGGAGCAGAGAGAAGGCCAGGGAAGGTAGAAAGACAGGGACAAGAAAGACATGGAAAAGTAAGAGAAGGAAAAGGAAAAATAAAGAAGCATGCGCTAGCGTCAAGTTGCCTCAAGTCCCTCATTTCATCCTCAGCCCTTCTCTTTTCGTGCCTCCGAATCCCGTGGGTCGGGACAACCATCTACTGAATCCTTCATTTCATTGGTGAGACAGTCCAGACTGAGGAGGTTAGTGACTTGCCTAAGACCCCTCAGCACTTGGTATATTAGTGGTAACCGTGTGAGGTTTTCATATCCAAGTTCCAGAGACCTTTTATCTACTTCATTGTGTTTTTCAATGTGTGGCATTTAGTTCACTTCCGTCAGAATCTCCAGGGTATTTGTTAAAATGCAAATTATTGGCTTTATCTCAAACATTGAATCACATTTTTAGGGGTAGAGACCAGGAAATTGTGTTTTAAGCACATCTGCTGGATGATCCCTACACTAATAGCCTATATTTAAATCAAGTGAAAGCCTTCCAACTATCGCTTGCTCAATTTCTTTTACTCCTTTCTCCTTAGCAGAAGTACTTCGGTTGCTAGAAACACCAACTGAAATTTTCTAGAAATTCTGTCATAATTTCTGAATAAATTCATCAGTAAGAGTTGAGGTATATTTCCTCTCCCACTCCCCTGCTCTTTTGCCCTTTATTTTTTTTTTGCCCTACTGGGCATATGTCTTAGCAGTTCTTCTCCTTTGTGATTTGTCTTCAAACCAAATACTTGCCTGCTGCTACTTACATGTGTGTCCTGGGATGGTTCCTGAGGGTAGTAGCATGCTTATTGACAAAAGCACAGCACAGAGCTGTCTTTCATATTGAAGGCTATGTAGGGAGTTTGAATGGACGCACGTGGGTTTACCCACATTGAGCCAGAGGAAAGAAGCAGAGCACCGCTCCTTCAGTCACAATGAACAGAGAAAGAAGAAAAGATGGGGCTCTCCGAAGGCCAGGGATCCAGTTGTAGTGGTAAGGAAGCCAAGGCCTCTCAGTAGAGTAGGTTAAGGTTTAGTAGTTTGCTCTAGAATTTCCAAACTCCAGGGACTCAGGAATAACAATTTGGTGAAAAGGAGAAGAATGAGATTTATCTTAAAAAATGCTTTTTTGCAGGGCGCACTCTCTTTTTCTTGGATTTTATATTAATTTCAAGGGATTTGGGGAGGGTGAATATTAAGGGACTTGTTTCAAAAGCAGATTAGCATAACAAACTGAAGAGTGTATATCCATTTGGGAAGGCTTGAGTAGAATCTGGTGAGGATTATTGAGATTGGGGTAAAGACTCGTCTCCCCCCTTCTGGTGGTACCATCGACTCTAACAGAAGTGGTTTCATATTGTAAGGGGGAAAAAAGGGCAGATGTTTCAAAAGAGTTCTCTGATGGAGAGACTGTCAAGAGAGAAGACAGAAGGGGGAGGAAAAGGAAACTGGAGGATAGGTGGTGTCAGATCTAAATGGAAGAAAAAGACAAGAAGGAGATAGAGTATATCACTCCCTTCACTCTGATAGTTCTGAAAGTCAAGGATATTCCTTACAAGGAAAGAAGTATCAAAAAAAAAAAAAAAAAAAGATAAGTATGGCCCAGGGATACCCAGTGTTATAAGAAACATTACGGTAAGGGTTCAAATCCAACTCGGAAGAGCCCTTAAGCCCAGGGTCCTCCCATCACACCAACCTGCTGTCTTTATGTAACATGCAGATTGGTAGCAGGGAAAAGAAAAGAAAAAAGATATAGAAGAGGGAGATTGGCAAGAATCTTAGGGCATCTGGCTTTGTAGCCTGCAGGACACTGGGGGTTGGGGATGGGGAGTAATGAATCTTCTAACTCACAAAAAACGCAGCATAGGGACATCTGGGATTACCTTTTGAGACATGCTCTTTTGTTACTGAAGATATGTGAAATGCCAAGGCAGCCAGGAAAAAGTTTTAAAAACCAGCCACTACAATAGCTATGTAGCTTCTATTCTGTGTATATTAGTGATAGCATTTAGGCTGAATGATTTTAACTTTTAGCACATAGTGGTCTGGCAGCCCAAGTCTTTTTGAAGGAGTGTGGGGTCCACAATAGGTTAGTCTTTGTGGGGCGCTGGTTACATGACTAGTGAAAGTGTAAAATACCTGCATCCAAATGCCTGCAAATACAAATTTTAATTTCCGAGAAGAATTTAATTGTAGAATAAACATGAAGTTACATTTTTTTAAAAAGCTTTTTTTTTTTTTTTAACCAGTTGAAATACTGTATCAACTGATGCTACTTGCAAGGACAAATTTAGAACTATTAAAATGCTTTGCAAACATCCTCCCAATCAAGACTTTTATCAAAAGAAAATCATTGGCACAGATAATAATAAGGTGCACACAGAATGAGATGTGGCTTCCTGAGTTTCTTTGCATGCAAATACTTACAGTGTTTCATTATTTGGTTTCCTTGCTGTGCTTTCACATTGTTTGGAAAAGTTTTCAAAAATGGAAAATGAAAAATTCTGCCTGAAAGAGAAAAGGTAAAAAAAAAAAAAAAGCAATTGAGCTTTTGCTCTTTAAACTAGACCTGATCATGTCTATTTATGCTTTGTTCATCCATATTCTTTACCTATTACACCAGTGTCGTGTTCTGAACCATTGTCCCTACTGAAATGCTTCCCGGAGAGAGAGTAGAGCCTTTGAATTGTCATTAGAATTCTTCCAGCTTAGATAAAATGCATCTGAAAGCTAAGTGTTTTGTGTGGGCTCTATAGATGAAAAAACTTAAATTTGTCATATTGAATCATAGGTGTTTCAATGCTCGTTAAAAGCTACCTTTTTGGTATATTAAAGTTTGCTCCTCACCACGCTCCTTCCCACATTGGCCTTGATGAGCAAAACCACTCAGAGTTCATGGCTTTGAATTGTAACCGGGAATCCTTTTTAAAGGATTTGAAGATATCAGACCTGACATTATTGTGTGAATTTTCTGCTTTTATTTTTGCTTATGTGCAGAAATATATGTGGATTCTCCCAACTCCTTCATCTTTCCAAGATGTTTAACTTCTAGAAAGGGGGGAAATGTCAAGAAGGTAAAAGGATTGTACTTACATTTCTAAAATAAAACAAAAGGGAGGCACAAAGGAAAACAGGGTGGAAAAAACAGAGGAAAGGAGAGCAGTTTGTGAGAAACTGAACCTTTCCTGGGGAGGAAGAGGTAATAAGGCAAGTCAAAGTGGCCATGTCTACATTCTTCTTCTCCAACACCAAGAAGATAATTCCTTGTAGAAAAACTTTGTGTAAAAACAGGAAGGTGGAGAATATATCAGAACTATTTGACCTGAACTTTCCAACTATTAATCAGCTTGTTATTTTGGGCCAAGAGTATGAATCTTCAAATTTGGATCAGATTGTGTGTGTGTTTGATGCTGTCTCTGTGTTTGTCATTTAGAGATACTGTAATGTGAACCAACCTGCAGTTCCCAGGAAATGTTCTTGGCCTTCAGATAATAGCACTGGGCTCCATCTATACTATCTTTTTGAAATTTTTATCATAGATACCAAGGAGGCCTTTAGGGCCATCTGCTAAGGCAGTTGTGTGCTTTATCCAGGCTCAGCAGCTGCAGGGCAGAGGGGTGACTCAGAGTTTGCACAAACATTCCACTGATCCTCCTTCAGGCACTCTATCCTTGCTAGCCTAGCATCCAAGGTTTCTAGCTTTAGGGACACAGAGGGAGTCAGGTCAAGCTTGTAATCCCAGTCAAGACAACCTCTGTGTGACTGCATTCACATCTCACTTTGATACTGTCCCGCAATTGCATGAGGCCTCAGTGTTTTGTTCCCTCCCCCTACCTCCCTTATTTATTTATTTATTTTTGCTCAGAGATCGTCTTTTCCAGCTACTGGAATAAAAAGCTTCTGAAGTAAAGTTTTCATATGCCAGTAATGTCAGAAGGGATGTGACCTCTTTGCCCCATAGGTGGAGGGGTCCAGGATCACCTTCCTCATGAACCAGCATCTATAATTGTTCTCTCAATGTATTTGTTTTCCTCGATCTGTTTCTCCACTTTGCTGACAGCATGGTATTTACAAAAGCAAATTTGGGAGATTTTTCTTGATTTTTTTCAGTGGCTTCCCATTTTCTAAACCACTTGGCCTGGCACTAAGAGCCTATCACAACCACCTCTCTCTGATTTCCTCTCACTCATTTCTCCATATGCAAGAATAAGTCTTGTTCCAAGTTTTTTTCCTGAAGAACTTTCATTCCTCCGTCTCTTGCCTTTGTCCCTTCACACACGGTATTCCATCTTCCTGGCGTGCTTCCCCCTACACCCATCTAGCCAGCTCCTACCTGTGCTTCAAGTCTAGCAGAAGACACTTCCTCAGAAGGACTGCCACAAGGCCTGCTGCCATTTAGAAACTTCTGTGCACCCAGAATACTCTGTTCTGTTCTCAGCTCTAACATAACATGCTGTATTATACTTAAGTACTGGTTGTCTTGTGCATTGCCCCCAAACAGCTATTTGTGACACTGAGGGTTGGGATTATCTCTTACTTGTCTTTGTCTCTTTGGGCTCTTGTACATGATTTGGAACACGGTAAGCACTCAGTGTTCTTAGAAGCTCACTTAATGTACATGGGTTTAGAAGCACAGTGAGACCTTGCTCTTGGTTACCTCAAAAGCTTCAAACAGAACCCACCTATCTATGCAAGGAGCAAAGCAGGTGTACAATAATATATGCTGGTTGATTCATTATAAATAGGTTGATTCTAAACAAAGACAGCAGCATCAAATGTTACTATCTTAGGGCATTCTCACTGAGGATATCTTCTTAGGCTGCAGAATATGTCCTTAGGGCAATGTCTTTCCAAGTTGTTGGACCTGTCAGTGGGTCATGAAAGTGCAAAGAGTGCATCAAGACTAGCATTGAAACCAAACAAAATCAGAGTGAAATAGGTAAGAAAACAGCAGACTATATCCCGTGAAGAGTTGCTGCGTTTTCTATCAGTTACAAATGTGATGTGTACTGGGTTGCAATGTGAAAAAGATATTTCTAGTACGCATCTCAGTCGGAAAAAATCTGGAAAACTGCTTGAAGGAAGGATGAACTCCGGCACGCCCTGCCATTCCACTCTGGACTGACGTGAAATCATTTGAGTGAGCAAGATGCTCCCTACTGCACACAAAGCAGCTGGGGGCTGGTGCCCTGTCTGTGCCTGCCCTGAGCTAATCCTTAGGGCGCTGGTGTTCTGTTCTGAAATGGAAGGCAGTCTCTGCTGGGAGAGAAATAGCTTTTAGAAAACAACATAACCCTCCTGTAGGGTTTTGTGTGCGCCTTTTATGAGGGACTAAGACATAAGGTAAAATTTACCCTCTTGAGCATCCCCCCCCCAACTTCTTTAAAAATGATGCTCTTCACTGATAAAAGCTAATTGGCTTTTGAGATGGCAGTTTTGCGCTCCATTTTACAGCTGCAATGGTAGCCTAATACAAGGTTATAATTCAGTCAGGCCAAAACAGGCTACAGAGATCTGGCTTCAGGTTGAATTGACTACTTGGAATCATTTTTCAGGAAGAAACAGGGTGGTTCATTTGCTTCTCATCTATCCGAAAGTGACCCCACGGCTCTGGAGTTGGTCGAGGAGGCATTGAGTGAAGGAGCAGGGAGCTGTCAACTGGGGACTATTTTGAAGTCAGAAGATTCTGCCACAGCTTGTCAGGATTACCTTTTGTTTTTTACTTACTCCTTTGGTGGCAGGTTTCTAAAAGCGCAGCAGTGACTAGGGTAAGTCAGTGTGGCATACAGGAGACTGGTAAATTTTTCTCTTGATGGCAGCTTTTTAAGAGAATAGGATGATGTGGCAATTAGTGTCTGAATGGATTCCAGCCCATCGCTGGGCAGGGCTTGCAGTTTGGTGGAAGAAATATCCCTGAAAAATAGAAGGGAGAAAGGCATTTTATTTATCATCAATGTATGATTCATAAATGAAAGCTCTTAACAATAATCCTGGTATAGGTTCTTGGGGCTCTGTTTTTTCCATCTTACCTTCCCCCTAATGCTCCATTTCAGTTAGTCTCATTAAGATCTGAATTCAAGAAGCTGTGCTGTGGTTTTTTTTTCTCATATTTACCCCATTATTCTTTTCAAGGTTGAGTATAACTCCTTGTACCTGCCACACATCATTATCATTGCTCACTCGCTCTCCTGCTTTCCTTTCTCTCTAGCTACCTCCTTCTACCTCTTTCCACTCAACAGAAGTGAAATAGCTACTTGCTTTATGAGACAGTGGGCACAGTCAGTGACATCAGCTTTTGTGCTCTGCCCCAGGGGAAATATTCATGACTTCAGATGCCTAGGTCTATAATTGATCAAGCCTGCAGGGTAGATTTTCTGGAAGCAAAGCAGCTAGGCTGTTAAGAGCCACTGTGTGGCGATAGCCATCGTCTCCCAGCACACAGAAGGCGGGTTCTCTAAAGGCAAGCTGGAGTCTTCAGTCCAAAGAAAGCAAATACTGGGCCATGCAAGCAGAACTGTGTGGAAAGCTCAGGTTTTGCAAACAAGGTCCTGAACTCTTGGGCTTTTCTATATTTAAGGCAATGTCTAAGAAAACACCAAACAATCAAATGTGAGGAGGAAGAAGAGTCAGTGGGAATTTTAAAAGCCAATGTATTTCTTAAGTGGCAGCTGCTGTGCTCCATGAAACTTTCCTAGCAGCACAGCAGCTCTCTGACCCAGCAAACTGACCCAGTACTTCCAGCACATGGAGCAATCATTAATCATGATTGCTGGACAGGTGAGCTTGACAACACAGAATGAAGACTAGTGTAGACCCTCGACGGAATAATCAAGACAGCAGAATTTGCCTCCAGGGCTGCAGACTTTTGCTGCTTTTTGTAGCCTTGTCTATTTACCTAGCTGGTGTTCTCATTCAGCTTTCTAGAATTATTATTTCAGGTATGTTAGGAATTGAGCAGGATTCTTTGTAGATCTGGTGGGTTTTTTCTTGAGGAGGGGAAGTGTAATATATTTTAAATTAGGATTACAGAAAAGCTGTAAAGGAGCTGTAAAGCTCATTACAAAGGAATGGAGATGTTCTTTACGATACTCCCATTAATGGAGGGACTGGGCACCGCTTCTCACACCCTCAGAGAACTGACGCACAGCATCTCGGTCCCGTCCTCCTGTCCAGCAAATGCCAGGTGAGTCAGCTCTGTCAGCACATGACGCCATCCTCCATATTTGGTATTATAGTTCGAACTGTATCTCCCCAAATTCATACGTTGAGGTCCTAATCTCCCGGTACGTCACAGTGTGATTTTATTTGGAAATAGCGTCTGTACAGAGGTATCAAGTTAAAATACGGTCATTAGGCTGGGCCCTAATCCAGTGTGACCACTGTCCTTATAAAAAGGGGGTGCTTTGGAGATAATCACACACACACAGCAAATGCTATGCGAAGACCGAAGTTATGACTCCACAACCAGAAAAAACTACCAGAAGCAAGGAGACAGACCTGCAAGAGACTTCTCCCTCACAGCCCCCAGAAGGAACCAGCCCTGCCAGGCCCGACTTCAGCTTCTGCACGATGGTGAGACAATGCCTTTGTGTTGCTGAAGCTCCCAGGTTGCCATGCTTTGTCATGCAGCCCTTTTACCTGTGGCGGCTGACACTCTGCAAAGCCCGGCTGGGGAGGACATGGTTATGTACTCTGAGTAGGGATGTTGCTGTGCACGGTTGGAATCATCACTGTACTCACAAGATGCTAGGCCCTGTGGCCCCCTGGAAGGCTCCATTGTGCATCTTCTCCAGGTGTGCATTTTCCTTTAAGTCCCTGTGGGGAGGACAGTGTCCTTAGTGGAGTTGGCATCTCATGTGTACCCAGTCGCAGCTGTGTACAGACATGTTTGGACCAGCCTGTGTGCATGGTGCTCAGGGCTGGAGAGGACAAGGTGGGGCAACTGTAGGTAAAGTGGAGAAAAGATATGACACTACTTGGTAAAATCGTGACATTGTTGGTGTGTTGGGCCCCACCTCCCCTCTTGAGTTTGCCTTCTTTCTTGGTGGATGCCTTGGCCCTGCAACTTAAAAGTACTGTGCTCCTCCCTTCCTGAGGTTAGAAAATTTACTGCCAGACAGCTGGGCAAGGATAAAAATTCTGCTCAGGTGTCCAGGGTAGGAGTGCAGCCTGCCCTGTATCAGTCTTCCTGCTGGATTTCAGAGGTCTCAGAGTCTGTTAATAGTAACAAATTGAAATTTGCAAATACTTTCTTTAAAAACATAAAGGAGGGGCCGTTTTAAGTGGGTGCTTCCATCATTTCATTTTACTCTTTTCTTTTAGACATGCATGCCTTCATGCATTCTCAGAAATGCATTCCTCAGAAAGGGGAGGGAATGCAGCCCGTGTAGCAAGGTGTCACGTGCCCTGGGGGCCTTGGGGGTTGGTGCTGTGCAGAAGATGATCGCCAGGTGTGCAGGTGTGGAAACAAAAGTGTTGATGGCCACTGCTCATAAGGCCATGGAAGAAGCCAGAAATTGCTACAGCAGTAGCTAATTAAGGGCTTCTTGTCCCTTTAGCTCAGAGAAACTCAGTGCAAACTGCTCAGAAGCACCTCAGCCTGACCCTGCTGAGCAGCCTCCTGCCTGGGCTCCGATGCTGGTGTCTCCAAGCAAAGGCCTTGTCTGGGTGGACGATGGAGCTGGGAGAGGAGTCCCTGGGCTCAAGCTTGCCTGTCTTCATTTGCACACTTTGTTCCTATAAGGTAAGGGTGGTGATTGAAAGCAATTTGGAAAGCGGTGGACAGTGGGCACAGCAGACATGCATTGTTGGCTTGATGATTTGGAGCATGGGAACATGTTCCGTGTACACTATGGTTACGGGGTAACATGGCAAATTAAATGCACCAGTACCCCGCTCTCTCCCCCACTGGATGTCTAGGTGATTACCTGGCTCATCTCATAGCTTTATATCTTCATCATCTTCCCGTGTGTCTCCATATCACGGCAGCCATTTAAAAAGTGCAAAAGCCCTGCCTCTCACACCCTGAGTGGCTGTTTTCCATATGCTTCTGCTAAGGATTTTCCTGGGAACCCCTCAACCCTTTCCTTAGGTCGTACCCGTCCATCTCACTTCATCCTATCCCTTGGGTGTATTTCCATCTTCAAAGAGATGAGGTTGTCAGAGCCAATTGCTTTTTTTTTTTTTTTTTTTTTGTGGGACGCTCGCTGGAGGCCTGGGAATGAACTGGCGCTGCAGAGGCTGCAGGCAGCCTCGCAGCCCAGTGCTCAGCCGCTGTACCACCAGGGGAGGCCCAGAGTCAATAGCTTTTTAAAATCTAAATCAAAAGAAAATTTCCTCCCCAAACCTCTATGGCTCTTCTTCCTGATTTGGTTTGTTTTAATTATGTTCAGTTATGGTCATAAATCATAACGGGACACTGTGAGCAAATAATCCTCATGTCAGCCAGGTCTAATTAATTGTTCAAACTTCATGACAGAGCATTTCACATGTTTTATTAAAACTTGGACCTTTTGGTACTACTGATAACTCTGCATTATGCAACTTGGTTAGAATAAATCAAATTCATCTACAAGACTGTGGCGGGGTCACTTTGGGGGGACTCTCCCATGTGACATGGCCCTCCACTGTGGCAGTGTAGGTAGCATGACCTTATGAAGCCCAGTGGGGAAACTCCCAAGTCCATGCAAAGCTTCCTAAACTGGGGTGCTGTGGAATGGTAAGGACTGACTCTTGGGCCCTGCGGTTCTGAGGGCAGCCCTTGTGCTGCTTCTCTGCACCTTATCCTGCCTCTCACCTTATCCTTCCTCTCGATTCCCAGTTTATCAACTTCTTTTCTTTCTCAATTTGGGGCCTTTGCACATGCTGTTTCCTCTCTCTGTAATGGTCTTCCCCTCACTATGCAATCATGAACTTCTGGTTCTCCAGTAGGCGTAACTCATAGGGAGATGTGAGGCACCTAACTTCTAGTCACCCCCTTGTATTTTTGCAAATTTCAGTAACAGGTTATTTCTGCCACTAGTATATATCACTACCTGCCATAAATTAACTTATTTGCTTTCCTCTTTGATGTATCTTTTGCTAAAACAGAAGTTTCATGAAAGCAGGAATGATTTCCATTTTACCATTGCAGACCCAGCACCTAACAGTGCCTAACATAACAGTGATGCTTAATAAATGTTTGTTGAATGAAATTGATTTCTGTTCTTGGCCAAGAGATTTGTGTTTTTAGTTTTCTTTTTTATATAACAAGACAGAATCTTGACCAAATGGATTTTTTTGAACTGCAAATCTATTTTGTGTCTCTGAAGCAGCTGAGACACTGTAGACCAAGGCCCTTCCTTCTGAAGTCCTATTTTTCCTGACCGCCCAAGGATGTACTCTCCTGGTCACCGTCTCACCTTAGTCCTTGCTCTTACTTTTCTTCTTCATCTCTGGTTTTCTCCCAATTCTATATTTTATCTGTTCTTACATTTCCCCCTGGTCTAGGTGACCTCAACCACAAAGGACTTCAGCCAACCCTTCTATCAGATATCCCTGGCCCCTGTTCCCAGCCCTGGCCTGCCACTTATGACCCTCTGCCCTCCCTTTTAACAGATGAAACTTCTTTATGCTCTTCTATCACACTTCCTATTCTAGAATTTTCAACAGCTTCTCATTTTCTGCAGAAGATTCTTTAATCTTTAACCCAGATTCTTTAATCTGGTATTTAAGGCCCTTCCTGCATGGCCCTTAACCCACATCTAGAACTTTCTAAAAGGCACTTTTTGCTGATCTGTGAGCACATCCCATGCTTCTTCCTCTGAGCCACTCTTCTCCTTGCCCTCTGCCCAGAATGCATTTTTCCCCCTATCTTTGCATGTCCAAATTAGGCCCACCTCAAAGTCTACCTCTCCATAAGTCTTTTTCTAATTTCCTTCTTTTCTGTCTTTTAAATCCCAGAGGGCTTTCCCTTTCTCAGGCAGGTGTCATGCTTTGCATTCTGTTTTAGTTACCATTTAGTGTACAGTTTATATACCCGGTGAAGGGGTTTCCTTCTCCTCTGTGAGCTTCTGTGGGGCCAATGCCAGGGCTTATTCATCTTTACTTCTCCCTCAGAATATAGCTGCTTCTTTAAATACAGCTGATGCTTGGCAAATACTTGGTGAGTGAACAACAGAACAAAGCATCTGAGAGTGCTGTGCCAGGAGAGGATGCGCTTTTGATTTAAATTTGGCAGAAACAGATTCAGTTGGCTAATGTGAACTCTTCATTAAATTCCAGTCAGCGAGAAAATGGGGACAATTCACCCCATGACAGGGAAGACAACTTTTAGAAAAGCTACCATTTCTTAGGTACTTAGTGCTCACTGCACAAAAAAATCTAATTATCATTTATTCATTCATAATTAAGTAATTAATAAAAAATTAATAAAGGGGAACCTACTCTGTTAGGGTTCTAGTAGCCCCAGTCCTGTAAGCTTTGAGAACGAGCCACTCTTCTAGAAAAAGGAAGCACCAAAAGGAGGTTGAGACTATACAGGAAATAGTAGGGTTGTTCCTCTTGACAAAAAGGCTGTTAACGCTGGGGGCTGGGGTAGCATATGTGAAAATCAAGGCTCCCATGGCTCCCAAGGTTAGGGTGCAGTGGAAAATGAGCTCCTTAACCCCCTCTCCCCAACCCCTTAGCAGCAGGGAGAAGGGTGAGCCGACCTGGACTGGGGTGTTGATTAAACTCGTAAATGACATTATGTGATTTCTCTGCAGTGGGGCTGGGAAGGATTTCTTTTCTGAAATCCTGCTGCCTCGAACACACCATCAACCTGAAAGAGGGGGCTAGAGAGGGAGGCTGTGAGATGGAGAAGCCTAAAGTAGGGTGTTGAATATTTCAGCAAACTGTCAACTTCAATGTATAAAGGCTGCATCTATCTTTGAAATCAGGGTGCTCTGGGGTTTCCAGCCAGCCAGTTGCCTAGTAACATGCGTGAAACACTGAGGACTAGCCACTTGAAAGTTTATTTTTGTCCTGAGTTAGTTGCTGAAGATTGAATATGATCTGGTAGCCAGAGTAATATTTCATTTTTATTCATGAGCTGGGGAAATAAGCACATACTTACAGTGAAATCAGCGTCGTCCCATTGAACGCATGACTTTGTATTTCTTCAAATCCATTTCCATATAGTTTGCTGAGGAGGTAGGAGGGAAGGTTTAGAAACAAAAGAATCAGTTTGGAATCTCACATGCTTCCTCCTGTGACATTCATTGCTCAGAAAATTATGGGCATTCACAATGTGGTCTATTTCTCTAACATTTTAGATGCTAAGGGATAAACCTCTTTTTGGTCTGGTTTGCTTCTGCCTCCACCCTCACCACCACCTCCAGTTATACTTGACTAGTCATTCTATGTATATTTTATGGTTTAGTCCTTCTTGTCATTTCCATTATACTGGTAAGAAACCTAACCCTCAGTGTTGTGGTGAAGCTTGTCTAGGGTCAAAGGGAAGCAGCACTGGGATTTGAGGCTGGAGCTGTCAGACTGGCACTTCACCTCTGCTGCTTCAGGCCTGCGCGGAATACATCTGGAAGCTGGGGGCAGAGGAAAGCTCAAGTACCGAGTTAGCTTTTGTTTTTCTTGGAAATCAGTGTGTGGCTTTGCAGATGCCATATTTGGTGCCATCACCAAGAAGATTTCCATGTCTGTGCTCTTTTCCCTTAAATGGGTTGCTGGTGGTTGCATGGCCATGTCAGAGACAAATAGGTGTGTGAGTTGAGATATAGCTCAGAAACATGTTCTACTTGCCCGTGAACAGGGGTTGTTGCCTGTAAGTTCTTTAAGACCCATTGGTGGATAGTGAAATCAATTTAGTTTGGTGAAGTCAGCGTTTAAAATATTTAAGTATGTTGCATGTAAATAGGGTAGCCCGGCTTATGAAATTTTGTTGTAGCATTTTTGTATGTCACATATGTGTAAGTTTACACACATATACAGGTCTGCCTAGATTAAAACACAAGAGGTTTCTTAGAACACAGATGCCAAGTGTTAGAGTTAGGAACTCTCCATGTTCCTGAAAGAACTTGGAGAGGATCAAGCAGCACCTTCATTTTACAAAGAAGGAAATAGGCTCAGAAAGTGACTTGTTTAAAGCCCACACTAGGCAAACAATGGACCAGAACACAATTTTTGTTGGGGTGACTTCTAGCCCATCAGTTTTGCTATGGTTTTTACTTTTCTTCCTTGAGATATCAGATGGCCCCTTTCCCTCCTCCTGCAGGAATATGTTCAATGGCATGTTCCCCGTGTGGCCTTTTTTGGTTGCTATATTTAAACTACTGCTCTCCCCTCCCCCAGTGTCCCAGCATCCTCTAGTTCCCTTCTCTGATTTGTTTTCCCTCTGTTGCTTTATCACCATCTGACCCACATTATATTGTACTTGTTCACTGTTCACCTCCCCCTGCGGAATGTAAGCTTCCTAGAGCAAGGATTTTAACCTATTCTGTTAACTGCAGAGTTTTCCATCTCTAGAACAGTGCCTGGCACCCGGGGAAATGACAATAAATATGTGCTCAGTGGATTGGAGGAAATGGGACCATGGAAGATCAGTATCTTATTATAAATGATAGCCAAAAAGTTTGAATGCCACAACCTAAATAGGAATATTTGTTTACATTCTTTTTCTTTTAAAAAGATTTATTTATTTTTATACAAGAGCTGGGGTACAGGCCAGAGGCACGGGAGGGTGAGAGGATTCACCAGAGACAGAGCGGGGAACAGAACAGGCAGAGGACCGAAAAACACTGCTGAGGGGAGCAGTGGGTGAGACAGGAGAGGTCTGTGCACCATGTGGGAATCTCCCTGGCTGGCTGGGAATCAAACCTGCACTGCAGAGGCTACGGACAGCTTCACAGTACTGCGCTCAACCTGCTATGCCAAGACTCAAGTGAGAAAAGGCCCTGGTGTGATATAAAATTAAGCTCCATGCATCTGGGAAGATGCTCTTTTCCCTTAAAAGGGTTGCTGGCAGCTGCATGGGCCATGTCAGAGATAAACAGGTGTGTGAGTTGAGATATACTTCACACAGATGTTCTACTTGCCTGTGCTCAGGGGTTGTTGCCTGTAAGGTTCCTATGGCTTTTTAAGCAAGACAAGTCTGGAATCTGTCTCGTGTGTGTGATATGTCAGTCTATCTGCCTGTGGTTTTTCCCATTAACTCCCAGCACACCTGAGACCAACCGGCATATAAATAAATATTGGTGGGACTCATGTTGAGGCATGATATTTGAATACAGAAAATAGATTACCAAATAATTAGTGAAGTCTCCTTATTAGGTTGAATTCAAAGAGAGCAGGATAGTGTATTTAATTCATTTCATAAAGCCTGTGGGTCACTCATGATGCCTACTACTTAGCAGGAGCTCAGTTTCAGGGCTTGTGAAGTGGTTGTCTTGCTCTTTCTGGGAAGAGCCTCTCTGGCTTCTCTGCTCTTACATGCTTTCTTCTAGAATTCTTCTGAGCTACACCTTCACACACTGGCTTTTACTATATTCTGCAATAGATTATTGGACACAATTTTTCAGTAGTTTTCCATGTTCATTTATAATGTGGAATCTGTGGGGGATCAGTTCTTGTTTGATCCCTGTTGTAATTACAATCTTCTTAACACTTTAGCAGCTCAATTTCACTAGCATTCTTTAGCATTGTTTTCTTTTTAATTTTACAATGAGAACATTGTGCTTTGGCAGTCTCTTGTCATTTGGGGTTGGATACCTTTACGGCAGTCTTTTTTTAGATGAAGGAATCATACCTGTCTTTCTCTCAACTTTCCTGAAGCTGGATATCTTGGCTTCTAGGCCAGTATTTCTCACAGCATACACCTCCATCCATGGACTCAGAATCACCTGAAGCTGTTGCCAAAACAGAGTCCGATCTACTGATCAGGTGCCACAGAGACCTTGGCATCAAGATCTGGTGGTATCCAGGAACATGCGTTTTTATAGCAAGCAGTCCCAGGGAACGTGGGCCTGCGCTGTGGGACTCCTTCCCCTACGGTGTACCAGGAGGGGACAGCTCTCAGCAGCTCCATGGTGCAAATCAGATGTTCTGTGGGTCAGAATAGAGTCTGGAGTCTAGTCCCCTGATTGCTTTCTGTGTCTTTGAAGAGGTGGAGTTGCAAAAACTAGCTTCTACTCTTCCTAGTAATGCAAGACTGCCTGCAGTTGTTGGGATGCCCATCCTTCATCACTATTTTATGCTGCCCTGACCCGAGCTTTGATACTTATAAAGATGGGCTCCTCCGTCTTATGCTATTTTTGTGAGGCTTGCAATGCCATTGCTCTAAGTGCAGCCTGGTGGTTAAGTCCAGGAGCCCTGAGCCCAAATGTCTGGGATTGAACTCCGGCTCTCCTACTTACGAGCTCAGTTACCCTGGGCCAGTTACTTAGCATCTCTGTGTTTCAATTTCCTAATCTGAAAATAGAGATGATAATAATACCATTGATTTACAAGGTGGTTGTGATGATTAAAATAGTAAACATATATTAAGCACTTAGAACTGGGTTCTGGAACACAGTAAATTCTTACTGTTACTCCTATTAACTCCCGTTAACTCCTATTTGGCAATGGCCTCCAACTCTCTTACCAGAACAGAGGGAAAGAGGTTTCTTTGCATCCTCTGGAAAGGATTTCTGTGAAATACAGTGACCTGTTTAATTGAGCTCTTGTTCTTCTCCACTGGCCTTTCTCTTGCTGGGCAGCGCAGGCCAGTTCAGTGGTATGGGCTGCCCCCAATGAACTCACGCTTTGAGCACCCTCAAAAGGGTGGCATCATTCACAATTTTGTATCTGGACATTTATTTCTTAATAGCCTGGTCCTATGTGTCCCAGTTTCCCAAAGAACAAGTCTCCACTATTTCCTTTTCAGCTGCTGCTTTTCATCTCTGTTCTTCCCAGGCATACACAATAGGATGTGCTGTCTTGTTTTGATTAAACGAGTGGCTTCCTTACTTTGGAGAAATTACAAATGTAAGTGGGAGCCCCCATGCTGTCAGACCTGCACAATGCTTGCAATGCCCTTTAAAACATCTGGAGAGTCACTTCAGATAACTTTTTTCCAAAACATCATGGTGTCAGAATTAAATGAGGAGTGCTTCTTTTGCCTTGAGGATGCTGTCACGGGCATAGAAATGAATCCCCCCTAACTTTTTCCTCTATTACAATTGCTGTACCTTACTTTAAAGCATTGTCTGCATTCTCTATTCAAGTGTCAGTAATTGTGACTCAAACAAAGTGAATGCTACCTTTTTGTTCAAAATAAGATTCAGGGTTTAGAACTAAGTCACAAATGATACTCTAATTCTGAATGCTGCCTTATTACAAACTCTGAATATTCTTAGGACTCTAAAAACATTTGGGGTTGTATTAGCCATACTGGATGTTCTGTCATAGATCCCTCTTGGACCATGTTGCCACCCGGTTTTTGGATTTCAAAGAATAAAGCTGAATTTACGTTTGCAGGACCTCTAGATCTTAAGAGTCCCCATTACTGAAGAGCAAAGCATATTATTTTAGAAACTGCCTTTGGTGTTATATCAATAAGCATTTTTTTCTCAAATGACTATGCAACACTATCCTAAAGAAGAGGGATCATAAATTCACCACTTTTTTTCTCTGGGTGCACTTTGCTGACATCCTTTTATATCTGAGTAATTGCTTGTGTGTTCAGACCCTTCTCTAGTGGAGCCCTGGCAGTGGTTGAGTGGGTAGCTCTTACCCAGCCACTACTATCTGCTGTCATGACCCTAGTTTTGAATGTCTGTGAGGGTTCCCCAATTCCATGGGGCTCACAGTCTCCTTGGCAAGGGATCTCTGCCACTGATATGAGCAGGCCTGCTTTTCAGCAGCACTGAGTTTGAATGTTTCTCTCCACCTAAACCAAATTCATGTCAACTTAAATGACTTCACCATATGCAATAACAAAAAGGTGACAGGCATTGAAATAGGCTATAATATATGTGGAATACAATTTTTGAAAATTCCATATTCCACAGTGATGCTTAAAAAGGGAGAGAGCAACGATGTGAGAGAGGAAAAGGGAAAAAAAGATTTTTACAAAAGAGTGTTGGCTAATGTAGAATGACAGAATTTCAAAATTACCATCTTGTATCTCCATATGTAACAAGTAAATAATCAATAGGTGCCAAAATCACTGGATAAAAGTTTGTTGGCCAGTAGGAGAGCCACAAGGAGCTCAAGTATCCTATGGATCCTTTTTGAATGACAAAGGAAAAATATGCCTTTACACAGAGGTCTGCAGTCACGACCTGGGCCACGTGGCTCCTGAGTGACATGAGGTACCTCCTGGCTTGACACACTGGGAGAGACCCCACATGCCTTATGCAGGATTCTTGCAGAAATGGCAGCATAGTCACGTGATTCTGGACCACTAGCTTGGGCTCCTCACAGCACTCAGTGTGATATAGAAAAGAGCAGGGCAGTTTTCAGGGTAGGAGGTGAGGGTGGGGAGACAAAGAAATAACAGCAAAAATGCAGTGCATAAACTTTGATGGGATTCTGCGTCTAAAAGTCATAAAAATCATGTACATTTGATCAGTGAATACAGGTTGGAAGATGTCATTAAATTCATGTTGATTTCCTGAGGTGTGATGTTGTTGTAGTTATACAGAATGTCCATGTTTGGGGGAAATACATGCTGAAGTAGTTAGGTATAAAGTGCCATGACGTCAATAAACTTCATTTGGATGGTTTGGCAAAAGGGAAATGTGTTCTGTGTACTTAAATAGAGAGGGAGTGGGTGTGGCAAGCTGTGAATCTAGGTATGGTATCTCGGGGTGTTTATAGTACTGTTCCTACCACTTGTCAGTGGATAAACAAATGGAAAGTGATTCCATTTGTCCGTTTAAAATTTCAAAATAAAAATATATTTAAAAAGAAATAAGACAGTATTTTCAGAATGATCTAAAAGAACTGACTTGCTGAATATCGGCTTTGAAATGGGGTGGTGCCATGTAATTGACACAATATGAGTGCATTTACACAAGAAGGCAGTGTAAATCACCCCAATGGATGGACAGGACAGAGGGGTGTCAAGGTGGTGTGACATGAGTGCACTGGCTTAACAGAGAGCCGGCACTAGAGCCAGGACTGGCTACTTCGTTTTCTCTGAAGGGTCTTAGAGAATTAATTGCAGTGACCTTTCCTTCTCTTTATGAAGTTCAGATATGAATCAAGTTTGTATCTTTTTTGAGGCTAGTGTTACTAACCATCTATAATATTTTAAAGGTGGTGCAAGCCAAATCCTGCTCACTCAGGGGGCACATTTCAGGGTGGCCTCTTGAGGAGATTTAATGAAAAGCCAAAGTGGCTATAAAGGGACATAAGAGTATAATGTACAGTTTTACCATCCGCCCCACTGTGCTGCTCCAGCATCAAGTGAAGTGTTTTGTTTTTATTAAATGAGCTCACAGTTGGTAAAGATTTGGGTAGGGGAAGGGCAGGAAAGGTTCCACAGAAAGCAAAATTTTCAAATACTACTAGTAGTGAGAAGAGAAGGCTTGCTTTCATTATATTTTAATTAGGGAGTTGAACTTCATAGCTGAGAAAATAAGACTTTCCTCTTTAAGTGTAATACCCTGTTTCCAGTGGGGTGCTCCACACGATCCTTCACTTACAGAAGGGCCCATTCAGCTGAGAGCAAGTGCCTGGCAAATGTCTAATCACTCTCCTTCCAGATGAAGGGCCAAGAGAGAGGCGGGAATGGAAGCACAATGCCCCCATGGGCTCTCTGGGAGAGATGGATCCGCAATCCTCATTAACTTCAGAGGTGGAGTAATTAGGCCCTGCTGGTAGGTACTATTTTTCTTCACATCATAACCAACATAAGTTAATGGCTCCATCATGAAAGTATCATGTGTGTGCCTGCTGCAATGTGAGGGCATGAAAAGGAATGTTTGGTCATTCCTTGAGTTTGGTGAGTGGTCCAGTCTGGGGAGCCCATAGAACCCTCCAGGTTCTCCCAACATTTGTTTCCTTGTTAACTTTCCTCCATGTCCTCTCCCTTTTTGTTCCTACACCATTCCGCTCCCATCACTGTACAAATACCTATGGTAATGTTCCTGATTATTTTTAGACCAAGGTCAAAAGCACAGGGAGTCTTGGATATTTGTGATCTTTGGATAAAAGCTACTCTATTGGGTGGTTCATTCTTATTGGTTTTTTCAGAGCTACTTCTAAGCCTTTCACTCTTATCCTGGCACACAAGGCCAGCTGCAATCTAATGTCCTCCCGATCCTCTGCCATTTGTCTAAACATGTTTCCCAGTGCTTAAACAGGATCTGCACTCCCGATTAGTAAGTCTCATCCTGTTTTCCTCCTTCCCACAACGTGCTGTTGCTCATGCTGTCCCCTGATTTGGGCTACTCATTCTTTTCTCGGTATGTGATATCACATAATAGTTAAGAACTTGACTCTGGAGTTGGAATGCTAGGTCCAAACCTTGACCTTGGGCAAGGTTTCTTCATGTAAAATTAGAGCTGGTGTGAGACTCAGAGTTGTTGTGAGACTTAAAAACTACACAGGTGTTTAAAGTAAGTACATATAAATATTAACTACCATTAGCACATTTACCTATTGTAAATGCCACCAATTCCATAAGGTCTAATTCAAGTCTCAGCTCTACCAACACAGCCTCTGCTGACTCCCCCAGCTCCTGATGATTTCCCCAACACTTTCCATTTCTGTGGATTGCAAGTTCTCATAGTGAATACCTACTGGCTTATATTATTCTTTATTTCACATTTTCCCTCCCTCCATGGAGATCATGAATTTCTAGAGGGCTTGGAGCTTATGTCTTTCATGTTCTCAATAAAGGCACAGGAAGGCCTTGAACCCCAAAGCATCCGGTACTTCCCCATTCAGTGCACTGAGTGTTCACTCTAGGAATACCTCATTTCTAATGGGACGTGATCAGTGAGTAATTCCATTTCCGTATGCTGTTTCAAACATGTTAGAAACATCTAGAAGAGCTGTAGTATGTGAATTACTCACTGATCATGTCCCATTAGAAATACATGAGTAGAAAGATTGAAGAGAAAATTTTCTAGGATCTACAGTCGCTTTCCTGGTGTTTGAGTTACAAGTAAGGAATTTGAGTTGTTTTGGAATTATTTTAGATTGCTGCTCTGTATTCTTTGATTGCAACATTCTGAGTTGGTGCTACATTGGCCACAGCTTTGTAACATGATAGGCACGCATTGAATTACACCTACAGAAGTAAAAGCACTATACAAATGCAGTGTGCCATTGATAATAATTTTTAGAACCCACTGCTAGAAAAGAGAATCCTCTGAAATGGTCTCTCCTCTTGCTTCACAGCTACGTCCTCATTCCAGGCTCATTCAATCCATGCTCTCTCTTTAAGGTTGTTCTCATTTACTGCCTCACCACAATCCTACCATGGCTGTAAGCAAAGCAGAAAGTTGGTATGTAGGGAGCAGAATTGAATTTGGGTCTCTGGACATTGACTATAAATGAGACAAAGGGCTCAAGATGCTGCTTCTGAATGGTGGGGGCAAAGGAGAGTGCCCAGGTAGATGGCAGGGATCCATGTTCACATCAGAGATGGAAGCCAGGCAGGTGTACAGAGAGGAGAATGTGTTGTGTTATCTTAGTATGATGCTCCTGTAACTTTAAGGTGCCTGTGTGTAACTTGAGACTTGCAAAAAATGCAAATTCTGAACCAATAGATCTGGGATGGGGCCAGGAGTCTGCATTTCTAACCAATTCTCAGAATGATGTTGAGACTGGGCTGTGCTTTGAATAGCAAAACCTTAGGAAAGAACATGAAAAGAATTGGGTCCAGGATACTGGTAACCTGATGAATGATTGTCAAGTATGTACATAGCCATCTTGTTAAATATTAAAGGATGTGGGGAATGGGCATAGATGATGTTGCTTTAGAAACAAAGTAACCAGATCCAAATGAGAAGGAGAAAAATCAGAGAAAGAGTGCAGATTCCATTAATCAACTTTTCTACCTACTTGGAGAATATCCTTCCAAACTCTTCTCAGTAGAAATTTGAAATTTCTGTGCCTTCTTTTAACCAGGCCAGCCACTCCCCTCCAGGCTGTCACTTCCTAGCTTCAAAGCATTCCATTGATGTAGTGAACAATTTCATAAGGTGGAAATTCAGTCACTGTAATTCCTCAGGGCCCATTTGATTAATTTTAAACTGATGGGTTGGTTGGTTGTCATGTGAACACATGACCCAGCTTCCATCCCACACAACTGCTCTCACCTTTGGAGTCTTAGGTCAGAAAGAATGTTACCAGCAAGTATGGAATGTGTTACCGATGAAAACGAGCTTGCCTCAAGCTGGCTGTGAGAATAGCAGGGGGTTGGATGGCAGAACATGAATCTAGGAGTTTACTCACAGTGTTATGGATTCATTATTCATCCCTTGGAAAGCATTTCCTGGTATGGTGGTTATGTGTAAGTTATCACAAATTTCCCTTGAGGAATGAAATGAGAAATATTTACTTTCCAAATTTTAGCTGCAAATAGGAAACTGTTATGCATAGCAATCAGTCTGGTACTTACAGAATGAAATTAAATTCAGAAGAAAAGATCTTCGAAACATCTGGAAGCTTTCGGATGCCTGTGTTACAGATGCTCCTGTGATGTGGGGCAGGGTGGGGATGTGGGCAGAGAGTGAATAAAAGTGTTATTAAGGCATAAGGATAGAAAGCAGTAGGAAAGCACTGTGAAAATACTATTTTCACATTAAATTAAAAACTATTGAGTTTGGCTTTATCAGTAACACTTTTAACTGTTGAAGCTTTTAGAATTTAAAAGTCCTGAGTGTATGGGGAAAGTTGCTCTAATGATTCCTATTTAGAGATCTAGGAGCTGGGACTAAACTTTTAGGTCTTTTTCATTATTTATATTTCTAGCCTGTTTTTTCCTACTGCACCAGTTGCATTTAAGTATTTCATTTCCTTTTGGTAATTAGTTTATTCCATGTGCTTGATAATTCTAGAAAGCACCCCCCTACTTTGGAACAGGTTTTTAACTAAGATACTTCAGATAGATTAATCTCCATGTGAGAAATCTATACCCCTCATTATTAAACACCTTTCTTTGTTAAGCTACCATGCAATTTAGGAAGTTCTTCCTGCATCTCACTTGAAGTCATTAAACGTTCTTTTGGTTATTGGAGCTACTCAAAGCTCCTTTTCTTTTCCTCTCACTGCTTATTTAGCCTTCAAAGAAGAGAATAAATTCAGTGATATGCTGAGTGGAAAATATTTTTTTACACAAGAATGGGAGTTTTTTTTTTTTTTTTTTCAAGGAGTCTAGGCATTTGGTGAGTTTTAAAATCATGAGTCAGGGACTCTGGACAACTGAATAAGCTGCCTGGCACCTGGTGACAGTGAGAGGAAGCCAGGTTTCTCTTTTGGCTCCTGCTGGATCTCCTTTACCCATAACCCCAGGTCACATTGCTCGGTCTGTGGCTGGTGATAGCTGTGTGGGCTTAGGCTGCGGTGGGTACTGGGACTGGGGAATGTTACCTTTAAAAAATAAAAGACGATTATTCTCAGATATCAAGGAGCTGCAGTGGTCAAATATATTTCTGGAATTTTCTTTTTATCCCTAAAATGTTTTTTTTTTTTTTTTTTTTTTTTTCCTGAAGCAGTTGATGGTGCAGATGCTATGTGTCCTATAGATAACCCTCCTCTGGAGTTTAGAAAAGCAAGGTTAGGAATAAGCCAGTGGTGGAGCTGCCAAAGGAGCTAATTCCCAAAGCAGCTCCTGCAGGAGACCCCAGAGCAAGCCTGACCGGGTGACAAGAGACCACAGGGACAAGATGGCCTTCCCTGGCCTCCCTTCCCTCCCTCCCCTTTTTAAAGATTTATTTATTTATTTATACAAGCACTGGGTACAGGAGAAGTGTGGGAGGGTGAGAGAATTCACCAGAGCCAGATCGGGGAACAGAACAGGCAGACTGATGAAATACACTGCTGAGGGGAGCAGCGGGCGGCAGGAGGGGTCTGCGCGCCATGTGGGACCCTCGCTGGCAGCCGGGGATCGAACCAGTGCTGCAGAGGCTGCGGGCAACTTCTTAGCCCAGCGTTCAATTTCTGCGCCTCCGGGGAGGCCCTCCCCCCCTTTTTTTGGCGGTGGTGGGGAGTGTGGTCGTCATATCTTTTGGAGATTTTATGAAATTTAAGTCATCAGGAAGAGGAGACAGAGGACATCTATGTTAGGGAGATGTATGTTTTCCCGTGTGAATAAGGGATTACTTGATGTGTGAGAAGGTCTGTAGCGATACACTTAGAGATTGCCTCACACAGCAGGAGTGCTGGTATTGCTGTCAGGCCACGAACCTGCCGGGCTATTGTGGTACTCAAAATTCTAACCAGAGGACTCAGTGTGATTTAATGGGAAATAGAAAATAATGATTTAATTTATATAGCTTACTGCCTGACTTAAGCAATACTTAAAATTTTTTACTTAATGAATAAACAAGTGAGATAAAGGGAGTCAGCAATTCTCAACTAGGGATGGGGATTCAAATCAAAATTGCCTTTCGAACTTCACCTCACCTTTGAGATTCTGATTTGCACTTTTTTTTTTCTTTCAAAGACCTATTTATTTATGCATGCAAGAACTGGGGCACAGGCCAGAGATGTGGTGGGGGGGGGGGGGGGGTGAGAGGATTCACCAGAGACAGAGTGGGGAACAGGCAGATCGACCAAAACACACTGCTGAAGGGAGCATCGGGCGAGACAGGAGAGGTCTGCTGCGCCATGTGAGATGCCCCCTGGCCGGCCAGGTATTGAACTCGTGCTTCAGCGGCCGCGGACAGCCTCATAGGTTGTGTCCCAACCCCCTGCGCCACCAGGGAGGCCCCTGCTTTGCACTTTTTAAGAATCATGACCATCCAACCATTTCTACCCCCACCCCCACTGGCCATCCTCACCACCAAATTTGAAAATGACTTGCAAAGCTGTGATATTCTTATTGGGTATTTGGGACAGAGAAAATATTGGGAACCACTTACATACATTCAAAACACCCAGCATGGTGGCTGACGAGTAATGCTGATTAAATTTAAATTATAAGAAGTACACACAAATAATGCTAGGAATATTGTTAAAAAATTCTTCCCAGCCTTTTAATTGCTTTGATTTTCATCAGATGCCCATCTTCCCCTCCCTTATTGTTTAAAAAGGAAAATTCCTCACAGATATTTTAACCGGGGGAGATTTGTAAATGCTCCAGGCTCAATGTACACAAGGTTTTTGGTGTTCTGGATCAGTCTGTAAAGAGAGAGGAAAAAGCAGGCAACCATTTAATAGAGGAGTATTGATTGGAATGCCCAAGACCATGGTCACCAGAGGATGCTGGCCAAAAATGGCATCAACAGAATCAAGTGCCCTTCTTATGCCTGAGAGGAGTGATTACCACCCTGAGGATGGCAAGAGCACCAGGAGAGCCAGCTGATCATTTTCAGGAAGTTCTGCTCTCAACCTCCTGCAGAGGCAGGTGTAGACACCATAGATGGGAATCTGTTCCACCCCCTCTTCCCCAGGGCAGCAACAACATCTGGGGCTCATGGCCATGCACGTCCTGCCCAAAGTGAAGCTGGCACACTTGAGCTTGGTGGGAGAGATGAGCCTCTTAGCTATTTTCCCTTGCAGGTAAACCTATCCTCTCCCTATAGGTAAACCAGTCCTCTTCCTAGTGTCCTCTGAAAAATGATCTAGATGAGTGTTCAGACTCTAGAACAGTCAGAGCGGAAGCTTGTATTTGGGGGATTTCTACTGATAATTTGCTGGGTGAAGATGCCTAGTCTCCTAACTTCCTCAAGCTGGGTTTCCTTCTATAAAACTGGGAAAATAATATGAGCCCTTCCTATCGCACATGTTGGTGGGTAGCAAGTAATAGATAAAGTGATATGTGATAATATATGAAGTAGAGATAATATACTTTGCAAGTATGAAAGTACAGCCATAGTAGCACAATGGTATCATTACCCTATATTTATTAGGGTTCTACCCCTATCTCCCCCAACCCTCCCGCCCTGTGACTTTGACTGTTTGAGAAGTAGCCACAGTTGTCGGGTCCTGTCTACTTTGGATTCAATAAAAGGCCAGTAAACGGCTTTGATTTTCTTAACCCATGCAATCACCATTTGAGTAAATGATTATTATTCTTGTTCTGTAGAGAAAATACAGAGCTTTGGTTAGGTGAATGGATTCTGGAGTCAGCTTGTGTTACATCCTGGTTTTACTAGCTGCTAAAGCTTGTTTTCTTCATAGAGTGGTTTTTGAGGAGTGTATGTGTGTGTCCAGCCTCAACTGGTGGTAACGATTGTTATCATAGATAATGAAATCTGGAAGTTGAATGACTGGTCTCTAGTCAGACGACTGAGAAATAGCGTAAGTTGTGTGGGAACCCAAATTTTCCGATTCCAAGTCTAGTGCTCATTTTACCTTCTTGTAATGACCTACCATTTGTGCTTATTTCCACCTTTTGCCTTTGATTTTTCAGAGGTGAGTGGCATTTTGTTGTAATTGTTTTTACAATTGAGTGTAGCAAAAGTGGGTCATACAGGCATTATGTGGATGATATGAAAGGGACTTTGATCTCTTCAGGATATTTTGAATCTTAGATCACTCACGCATCTGCTCATTCATTCAGCAATTTATTGACCACCTACACATCCCAGGCCCTGCTCTAGGTGCTGGGGATACAGCTGTGAACCAAGGAGGAGAGGCTCCTTTGGGAAAATTCCATAATCTTTTCCTTAGAGCACTTTATTTTTAAATGTTGATCAATGCTGCTTTGCATCATGAAAATCTTTATCTTAAGCTGCTCTGGTGGGTTCTCAATATAAGTCGTGCTGCAGTATCACCTGGGAAGTCTGTTAAGACTGTAGATTTCCAGGTGTGTGAAAGGACTGTCATCTGTATTTATCATGAGCTCCCCCTCCCCCCAATTCTACTCCATATTCAAGCTCAGACTTTGGCACCTATATGCCCATTATTTTGGATTTTCCCATAATCATATGGGGAAACTGGATTTCTTTATAATCACTTGGTGAGTTAGCTTCATTTCCCTGGCAACACTATCCTCTCCTGGGGGAGATAGATATTTTAACTCCTCTGTATTCTAGCAGCTCTTGACCTTGGTTGGACATGTGGTGGGTGTTCACATACTTTATCAATTAATTGTTCTCTTCAAATAATTACTAATTGGACCATTCATAGGGAGGCTTTGTGGTTTATGGGAAATCCATGAGCTCTAAGGAAAGACAGGCTGGGGCTGAATCCCAGCCCTGCCATTGTCTAAGGTGCCATAATGGTACAATTACTAAACTCACTGAGCCTCCATTCTTTCTCCTGAACAAAAGGGGAAATTACTCCACTTTGCAGGGTGGCTGTGAGGAGTACGTGTCACAACCTAGAGGAAATACATGCCAAAATAAGTATTTAAGAAATGTTTGTGCCTAACATCCATTATCTTCCCTTAACTGTTGAAACTCCTACATAAATAAAGCTTTAGTTCTCTTGTACAAGCTCATGTTTGGGCCAAACAAAGGGCCCTGGTTTAGGGATCAGATCACCTGACTTCTAGTCCCAGCTCTGGTAATTGCTATGTGACATCAGACAAGTCAATTAACTTCTTTGGATCATAGGTTCATCATCTGAAACTGAGTTGAGCTGGTCTTCTCCCTTTCTTTTTGTATTTTGGGAGGAATTTGGAAAGGATTATTTTAAAGAACCAATTCAAAAACATCACAACAACAACAACAATAAATCCAACATACACATTCCTGTCACAGGGCTTTTATCTGGTAGGTATTCAAGAACCATTTACCCAATGAATGAATATGCCCAAACAGCCCCCAATGGACCAATTCATGATCTCTAAGCTCCTTGCCAAAATTTCCCACTATCCCAAATACTCTACATCCTTCCTTCCCTCCAGGAGGCAAGGCTACTTGGCAGGACTCCACAACGTCAATTTTAATTTCCAACTTTGTGTTGTAATGTTTCAGAGTTTATACAGCTCCTAGAGAGAAGCAGTTGTCACCATGGCAACCTTCAGGCCACTGCAGTGAGAGAAATTAGTGCCTGCCCAGATCTCGTAATTGCTGTGGTCTTTTCCTCTTGGATTCCTAGCAGTGGATGCTTGAATACAAATACTGAGTGGGTTCCAGTCAGCGAGGGTAATAGTGTACAGCAATAAACTATCTGTTAGCTGATGCTTACATTTCAGACAAATTGAGGAGATTGTCAAAGGCATTAGCTTCTATCTTTTCCAGGGAATCACTCTGAGAGATTTCACTAGGGGAGAGAGAAAAGAAAAAAAAACAAAACATGAAGAAAACGACTATGTCTGCATGATAATACACTGTGTGTGACCCAAAAAACCGAGGGCTGCAGTGTGTCCCTATAAAGAAGAAGAGGGAGGCCAGAAGTTGTCCTCACATCGTAAAGCACTGACATCTGCTGGGAACACTGATGGGCATCTATAACCCAGGTGTAATTGAGATGCAAGTTTCAGCAACCCCAGTTTCTCTGACAGGGTTTTTTTTTTTTTTTTTTCTCTTGTTTAGATGGCTAGAAGTAGACAGGCCCTTTGAGGAAATCTAGTCTGAGTCCCTTATTTTACAGCTTTGAAAACTGAGGCCCCGAAAGGAGAGGCAAATAGTGTTTATGGGGAGGTTTAGGATTAGGAGCAAGATGTCTGGGTTCCCAACTCCATCATTCGGATGAGATTTTAATTCGTTGTTTCGAAACTCTTAACCTTCCTCCCCAAATCCTGTTCTGAGGCAATCATGAGGTGATTAACTACCGACACTGTATCCTGCTTGGGTTGTGACTGTCTAGTTCTTCTGCTCTTTTTTCTCTGTGAGCAAACTGAGGACATGGAGCATGGCCTGTGACTTGTGAATCCCTGGCGGCTTCATGTTGCCTGGCATGCAGTGTGAATGAATGCATGGATTAAGGAATAAGTGGATTTCTAAAAGAAGACACAAAAATAAAAGAGCCATGTACCACCCCCAAGGAGGGAGGTAATTATTGAAACCTCAATGAAGCTACTGTTTGCTGCCAGCTGAGAAAAAAGTCTCAAAGTCACAAATTGTACATTTGTATGTTTCGAAGGTTCACTTTCACCAAAAGTTCCAGACTTGAGAGCTTCGGCCCACAGAAAGGTGGAGCCTCAGGCAGCTAATGTCTTTTATAAACAGCACAGTAATGGATTGTTCCTGGGTTGATTCATCTTATTCCTACCTAATAGTTTGCTTATTTAACTGTGACTGCTTTTCTCACTAGGAGGCCTTAATGCATTAAAAGTTATCAAAACGTAGCATTTATAAACTTGAGAGCAGAAGAGTAAGAGTTAGACTCAAGCAAACTGATATTTCTGTAACCTGCAGTGAATTTCCTATAATATGCACTCATTCTTGAGGAATTATTTTTAATATCCTTATTTCTTGCTAATGCCCCGAAGAGCAGTCAGAGGCCCAAGGAGCTAAGATGTTCTAAAGAGCATCTTCTTTACAGATGCAAATGAGCTTCTAAAACCTAGTGGATTTTTTAACTTTATATATGCTATCTGGGAACTAAACAGCCTCTGAGGTCCTTTCACTCAGACTAACATTTAGGAGAATACTGGAATACTGTACTGAGACGGTTCTCTCTTCATGTATGGGTCTGTCCTGGAAGCTGGATTGGCAAAAGATTGAAATTAGATCTGATGCATACAGATCACCCTGCATTATCAGACTGCTTTACACTTTTGATAAATGCCTTTTTATCAATATGCCTATAAATACTGTGTTTATATCATGCACTTATTATAGTTTAGATACAAAGATTATCTTCTGATGCACAATAATCTTCCAACACATTTTCTCCTACATGTGGGTGTTATCTAAAAATGTGACACAAGGGAATAGCTGCTCTAGCAGAAGGAAGATTTTTATGATTGGAATCTTTTTCCTCTTCTACTTGAGAAGTTTATCAAAATGCATTCAATTTATTGAAGCAAGGTTAATTATTCAGATTTTAATGACTCAAAAATCAAACCTATTCTTTAAAAGTTCCCAGTTTTTATTTGTATTATAAAGATAAAAGTGCTAGGTTTTCCTAAACACAATTTCTCTCCCAGAAAAATTTTCTTATTTGAACTTTGATTTTTTGGAAAAAAATTTATTACCCCAATTATGAATGTCTTTTGATACGCAGTATCTTACTTACATTTTCACGACCTCATTAAGTCCTCTGAAAGCGTGAGATGGGATTACTTTGATAGGGAGATAGGTGAGTGATCTAGAGAAGAAAAAAGGAAAGCCAAGAATTAAAAAATTTAAGATTAGGGTGCCTTTTCAGTTCATGTATAAAATGTGTGTGAGCGCGGGCGCGTGTGTGTGTGTGTGTGTGTGTGTGTGTGTGTGTGTGTGTTTGAGTGACTAGAAAATCCCAACAATTGGATTCAGGTCAAGAATTCTAATTTATGTCCGTAAAGAGATGTGTCATGATCCATTTCTGGTCTTTATCAAACAGTGTGTATTCTGTGATTTACATCCTGAACTTTGGGATTAGACACACCCAGATTCAAATCCCTACTCCTCCAGTTCCTGGTTATGTTACTTAAGTCCTCACTTTAACTTTCTTCATCTATAAATTAGGAATAATAGTTTTTATTTCACAAGGTTACTATATGATTAATCAAGATACCCTATGTAAAGGACAAAGTTTGGCACCAAACAAATGGTTAATACATACTTCTCGAGTGGCCTTACAGGCTTGGCTGGAAGGATTGAAAAAGCTTTCTTGGCTAGAGTGGAGGAAGCAACGGTGAAAATGCAATTGGAAACCAGGTAGGTAGGAGAGGGGAAGACTCACGAAGCACATGTTCCTGTTTTGACCCATACCATCTTCCCATGCAGCCTATTTCAGTATTATTCCAACCTGATCCCTTTCAAATCACATAGGCACCTTATGCCAGTTTAGGGAAGCATCTATGGAGTGTTTCCTTCAGGTACTCACTTCTATCCAGAGAATCATTTCAAATGTTTTTATTGAGATAAAAGTTATGTATCACATGAGTTGAGAAAAGAGTGACGACTCAGCAAGAACCCAACCAGAACAGGATAGTGTATGAGTGCTAAGGAGCTTGGGGCTCACACAGGAGAAGGTATCACCAAGGCAGGGATGAATGTCCAACTTGGAGTTATCAAGCATCTACAATGGTTAAAGGTTTTAGTCCAGGAAATGGCAGAGAAGAGAGGAGTAGACAGGACATCTCAGGTGGAAGTGAACACCAGGAATATGAGAACAGGGTGAGAGATGCTGTTTTGCTTTTCATGTGTCAGTAGCAGAGATGTGATGTCATAGTTGTTGGGAGTGAGGATCTTCTCTATGATGAGTAGATGTGAATCAGTGAGATGTTTTCCAGTGCTGGAAGGTACTTGCTACTGCTATAAGGTGCTTGGGAAGTGGTGCACACCCATCTATAATCTTACTTTATTCACTAATAATAATGCATATTATTATATATAATATAGTATAATAATAAGTATTTCCCTTTATGGCAGAAGAGAATGAATCACAAAGAAATTAAGTAACCTGAGCAATATTATTTAACTGAGCAATATTGGGCCAAAGCACCCAATTCTTATCTCACTCTGTTTTTTCTTTCCCCCAACTTTATTGAAAAATAATTGACAAATGTAATTGCATATATTTGAAGTGTACAATGCGATTATTTGCTATGAAGATATATTTTGGAATGATTAACAAGTTCAAGATGATTAACACATCTGTCACCTTATGTAGCTAACTTCTGTGTGTGCCTGTGGTGAGAATGCTTATGATCTAATCAACTTTCAAGTACACAAAACCAGATTATTAACTACACTCACTCAGCTGTACATCAGATCCTTAGAGCATATTCTTACAACAAAAAATTTGTATCCTTAGACCCACATCTCCCTATTTCCCTCTCCCCTCACCCCTGGTAATTCCCATTCTATTGTCTAGTTCTATGAATTGGATTTTTTTGTTTGTTTGTTTGATTTTTGTTTGCACATATATCCTTTGGTATTTTCTTTCTCTGTCTGACTTATTTACTCAGTATAATGCCCTTCAGTTGCATCCATGGCAGTATTGCCTTTCTTTCTGCTTGAATAATATTATATTGTATGTATGTGCCACATTTTCTTTTATCCATTCATCAGTTTTTGAGATAGTGATTTAATTTCCTTTCAATTTATACCCCAGTAAACTTCTTTCTGTCAGTGAGCAAGGTGTTGGGACAGGCATTGTAACTTTGTTTCTCTCAGGAGGAGGAGTATCACACTCTCTATTTCGCCTGCAAAGCAGCTTATCCACAGTTCTTCTCTGGGGACTAACAGAAAATTTCATTTCAGAAAAATGCTTTCACTTAACTGTCTCTTATAGATGGTACAGCCTACTGGTCCTCTGATTCTATTCCTCAAAACAAAGTCCCACCAAGCACACTGTTCAGTGCCCACACTCATTGAACAGGCATCCAAATAGAACAGGGATGGTGGTGGGGGGAAAATCTTTTTAACATGGCCTGTTTGCATCCTATATTTCTTCTGGAATCACGACTGCTTGGTTTACTGATTAAAAACACAGTTTTATTGCTCTCTGCACTGCCAAGTCAATAAATTTCCAGAAGAGAAAGCTGTATTCTACTGTACCCCATGTAACATCAATAAAACTGACAGCCAAATTCTGATTCCAGAATCTTTATTGCTGGGATAATGCAGTGCAGAACACATTTTGGAGAGTGTTTACATAGATGCTTCAACCAACCCTTCAGAGCTGTTTATTCATGCAAATGTAGCCCAGAAGCTGGAGCCTCTCAACAGGCAGCTTCCTCCTCCAAAAGGGAGCCCGGCACGGCCCCCTGGAGAGCAGTTTGGCTCAGATTTGACCAGAGAGGTTGCCTGAGCTTTTGATTGATATAAGGATGACGGACGAGGAGCAAAGGTTGGCCAGAAATGAGAGAAGCTGTAGATCATGCACTGGCTGTCTCCAGTGACTATGGAACAGCCCTGGTGCAAAATGAAATTTTGCAGAGTTGATGTTGATGCTGCAGAGCAGGAAAGGCAGCGGTGATGAGAGTAAAAATAGAGTCCCTACCATAAAAGAACCACTGAGTGAACAGCAGGTAGCTGCGTGGATGTGACTGGGGCTGGAAAGAAGCCTGGGGGCCAGATGCTGGGAAAGTATTGGGAGGAGGCAGGTAGACTGAGCCTTTCAAAACAGATGTAGTCCTGTGGAGTGATGTGGAAAATGTGGTTCTGTGAATCCAAAACCATTTTTCCCACTGACTTACATTTTTATTTCAGAGTTGTCATGTCTACTTTTTTGATGTGTTCTCAATTGGCAGCAGAGCAGTCAAGTATCTGTCTCCCAGGTTGAACTTGCTTGATCAGGGGGCCTGTGATTTGCTCATCACCATTTGAATGTACTCCCTTAAAGGCGCCCCCTTCTCTGATGTGTGCATCTGTGATTCTTTCCACCGAGCCAGACATTTTTAGTAAAGTGAGCAATTGTCTTAATAACTTGCAACGCTTCTCCTTTACGTATCCCAGAGAAATTCTCATGCTGATACTTAGGAGAACCTGCACAAAGATGTTCTTCCCAGCCTTGTGGCATCTGGAGGCAACATGGGTGTCCACTGCTGGTAAAGTGTGGATGGCACATGCCCTACTAATAGGTGAGCAGTCAGAAGTCTTGAGCTACACTTGCTCCCCCTGTCCCATGTGGGAGTTAATTTTTGCCTTGATTCTTTATCCTGTGGCTTGCCTGGTCTCTCCAGAATCCATCCAGGTGTGGAATCTTACTATGCTGCCTCTTATCACCAGATCCTGATGCTGGTATCTCTGTTCCTTGGAGGACACTGCTGTCCCAGAACAGTTCCCAGTTGCTCTCTGGTTAGGATCAATCTCTAGCTTTCACTGCTGGGTTCTGACTTCCACACATGGGGACTCTACTGTAGTTGAATTATTCCCTGTAGTGGATGCTATGGTGGACTACCAAGTCACCCTTCGGAAGGAGGCACTTAGCCCTCAGGGACTGGAAGGGTAAGTGGCTTAAGCTCTCAGCTGAGTTGCTCTCCTAGTATTCCTAAGATTGCCACCTTACCCCAAATCATGCCTTCTGTCTGCACAGCCTGCATCCAGTGGCCAGTCAGTGAACAGAATAAAGGTCTGGTCCCTTTGCCAAGGAATACCCTACCTTCTGAGTTCCTTCCCATCAATTTTTTTCACCTGGGCCTCGACTCAGTCCCTTTCCTAACAATCCCAGCTACCAAGCCCTGAAAGCACCACGTGTCAGAGCCTAGCACCGGAAGCTCTGCGTTCAGGGGAACCCAATTATCTAGAAGAGGTGGATGCCACATTGCCAGGCCCTTCCTAATTATTCCTAATGTCTCCTGAGTTCACAAGGGTGGGCCTTGGGCCCCTCTTCTTTTTTCCTTCTCTTAGTTTAATAACACAGATGATGAAAGGAGACAATCTGTCAGACTCACAGGATTGTGAATGAATACTCAAAATAATGTTAGCTGGAGAGCTTCAGAGTCAGGAGGTTGTGTGTCCCCTTTCAAAGAAACCTAAGATTTGGAAATCCTTTACAAAAACCTAGCAATTGGGAGACATTCATATTATCAAGGGCTTCTTTGTTCTACAGAGAGATTCCATGAAAGGTGCCTTTAAAAAGCAAACTCTCTAGATGAATGGAAAATATGGTTCTCTCCTTTTAAAGACAGGCATTGACAAGCCTGGCTACAAGGAAGGCTCCCCACCTACCCTTGGTTTTTCAGAGCTTAGAGCACATAGATGGTCCCCATGACAGGACCATTTTCAGAAGCCCACAGGCTGAGAGGGCCAGAGGGAGACCGGAATCAGGGAAAGAATCCAATATCAATCTAGAGTTTCCAAATCCTGTATGGGATCTTTGGTCACGTTGGTGGCGCTTTTAGCTTTGTTTCTGCCCAGTACGACAGAAATGAAATGTTTTTATTCACTTCCCTCTACTTGTTTAGGAAAAAAAATCTATATTATCGATGTAAGATCCTATAATACCCATCCATCTTTCACAGACAATTTATTGCTAGAGCTGCACATCTGGAATTTTAAAACACTAACATACCATCAAGAGGGAAAGGGGAGAGAAATCAAAGATGGTCAGAGTCTTTTTTTGCCTACGGAACTCATTAGAATAGAAGGGGGAAGCATTATCATACTTAAATTAAAAAGACTTAATTTTTTTTAAAGATTTATTTATTTATTTAT